TTTTTTTTTTTTTTTTTTTTTTTTGGTACCAGGGATCAAACTCAGGGCCTTGCACTTGCAAGGCAGGCTGCAGCACCACTAAATCCTCTGCCCTCCCTCTGCTACTATTTATTGGTGTGTGTGACTTGCCAATTCAATGCCATGTCACCTGAGGGCAAGGACCTCTTCTTTATACTCCCCCAATCTTTGTCCAGGGCTCTGCACACTCAGCAGGTTATCAGCGGTTGAGAAAGAATGATCTTAAGACCGATGAATGCTCCAAAAGTACCCACCTCAAAATAAAAATCAAAAGCAGCAGCGCTCTTCAAAGTCAGCTGAGAGCTGCTTCCAATTCCGAGGAAAAAGAAAACACTGGCATATATTACTTTTACTTGTACTTCTTTGACACCTTTACAGGTCTTAGGGTAACAGAGTCTTATAAAACCAGTACAACCAATTCTGAGTTTTCTTAATGAGGTATCAGCAGCTCTACTCTATGGGACTACAAGGGAATGCTGATGAACAAAATGGAGGTAACCCTTGTTAAAAGCATTAGATGAACTCAGTGAGTGGCACCATGCCTGCCTGGTATGGGGGCGGGGCTGGGCGCGGCGGCGCACACCTATAATCCCAGCACTCGGGAGGCTGAGGCTGGAGGATCGCTGTGAGTTTGACACCAGACAGGGCTACATAGTGAGTTCCAGGTCAGTCTCAACTATATAGTGAGATCCTGTCTCAAAAAAATAAAATAAAAAAATTTTAAAAACAAACAAAAAAAACTAAACTAAAAGCATTAGCTCTCTCTATCACCACTACTCCCACAAAGCACAAAACAAAAACAGCTCCCAATGAATGAGAGCTCCTCATCTACAGCCAGGGCCTCAGACACTCACAAGTCACTTAAGACTTCAATATTACTGAGGTTCCCAAAGATGTGACTTCTCAACATGAAAGGTTAAATGACCTAGTACCACCATATGAACCAAGAATGAAATTCCCCATTTCCAGATCATTGCTTTAACAACAAACCAACATGTTCTCCAAACATACCTCACATCCCCCATTACTGAATCTGCTGAATGGTCTAAATAGCGTCTGGATCGTCTTATCACTCTACTCCATTACTCTCTGCTCAAATGATGTTAAAGCTTAATCGGCAGTGGGCTCCTGTGGCAAGAATGATCTCAAATGCTGCACTATGCCCTCCGCACAGCCCCCATGCTCCATTTACTCACTAGGGGTCATTGGTGAATCTAGGAAGTCGTGGCTGTGGGAAGCCATAGAGGTGACAGTAGAGTACGTCGAAGCAGTAGCAGCACATCTCTGCAGTCACCACCAAATTCTTAGTGGTATTGGCAGTTCCATTGGGCCGGGGGAGAGGGCTCAGAGCTCCCGATGCGGGATTCATTCGTGTGATAGGAGAGTTTCCAGGTCCCAGAGTTAAGTCTGACGACACATTCTCCCGTCCACTGCTGCTGTCCACATGCTGGTGGTTTTGAAGAGGTCCTGAACTAGAGCCGGGGACAGTAGTGGACTGGTTCCCGTGACTGTGCGTTCCGCTTCCAGATAATTTGGGCTTCTTGACCCCACAACAGCCTGCTGCCAACTTGGGCTCAAGTGGAGGAACACAACGTCTTTTTCCCATCCTGATTCGGTGCTCGTGGTCTGGAATGCTGCAGAACCCTAACCCAGAAGAAAACAGTTAAGCACTGCCTTGAGTGGCTACAAGAAGAGAGTAAGTGAACACACTGACACAGCCTATAGTCCCAGCACTCCTGCAGGCTGAGGCAGGAGGATCGAAAATTTGAGCCTAGCCTGAGCAACTTAGGGAGACCCTCAAAAAAATAAAACAATAAATAATAAATAAAATAAAAGGCTAGGGATGCAGCTCAGTTGTGAAGGCCCTGGCTTCAATACCCATTACCGGGAAAAGGAAGGGAAAAGAGAAAAAAAAAAAAAAATCAGAAAAAGAGCTGCACATACTAGGTAGTAATCATCAAATTCTCTTTTACACCCAAACCTCTGGATTACGTGACCGAAATAGGTGGCAGAATAGGGGTATAAGAGCACTCATGCTCTAGACCAGACTCCTGAACTTTTTCTACAGGGGAACTTTTAAACCTTGGTAATGGGGATTGAATCCAGGCCTTTGGACTGAGCTAAGACTCCCAGCCCCATTTAATGGACTTTTAACTCAGAGAACAGTAAGCTGCTATGCTGGTCTTGGACTTCGCATCCTCTTTCTTGTCTGAGCACCTGGCCTGGAACTACACTTTCCATAAAGTGCATGGTCACCACGGGGGAGGCAGACGAGAAGCTGTCTCTTCCCCACGACACCTGGGGCACAAGGTGGAGCTGACAAGAGTGAATGTCCCCTGCCCATCAGACTCAGGTTGATTTCTCTACCTTTTTTACAGGCTTCACATTGCATCATCCTATTTTTAAAGAACTTTAGAGGTATTTTCAAGCTTTTCCTTGTTAACCACATCTTCTTCGCATTTTCCTCATCTCTAACTTAAAATCTGTGATTTCAGCCCTAGACAGGAGTGAGGATGAAAAGCAATTAGCTGTCATTCTGCAAAGCGCACCCCTCTGTGGGCTCCACCTGTCCAACCTCACAGCTCCCCCTTCTAGCCCCTCCCTCAGTCCCCTCTGAACTCACTCAGATTTCTAGGCCTCTAGATCCTTTCAAGACCTTACTCACAATACTGAAACCCAGGCAACCTTGACTCACACCAACAGCCTAAGCTTCACAGTCCTTTTGTGAGGTAGCCATGTCTGCCCTGTCACAGCCAGGGAGAGAGAGAGCCAGCCAGCTTTACTAAATGTGGTCATCACGCGGGAAAGGGGCCACAGCAGCCCGTATGATGGTGTAAAGGAGAGGAAGGGATGTGTGTTTGTCTTTTCTTTTTTTCTTGGCCTTACTGGGGATTGAACCCAGAGACTTCACAGTGCTCTACAAGGCTAGCCCTTTTTTAATTTTTTGAGACAATGCCTTGCCAAGTTACTAAAGTGCCCCTAGGTACGTTCAAACTTTCAATCCTCCTGCTTCAGCCTCCCAATGTGCTGGGATTATAGGCATGCAACACCACGCCCAGCTAGACCTTAGGCTTTTTAAGAAAAAAGTAAAAATATATCCTAGCTGGGCGTGATAGTGCATGCCTGTAATTTCAGCACTCTAAAGAGGCCAATTCAGAAGGATCATAAATTCAAGCAAGCCTGAGCAACTCTGAGACTTGGTGAAACCTTGTCTCAAGAAAACAACAAAAAAACCTACCAACAACAGAAAATGCGTTAAAGAGCTAGGGATAAGGCACAGAGCAAAAGTCCTGAGTTCAAGCCCTGTCCCCCCCCCACCACACAAAGTCCAAAGTCTTTCTCAATAAATTAGGAAAATAGGCCCTAGTTATTTCAATGTCAATACCAAAAATGCCAGGTTTGTTGACGCGCACCTGTAATCCCAGCACTCAGGAGGCTGAGGCAGGAGGATTCCTGTGAATTCATGGCCAGTCTAAACTATCTAGTGAGTTCAAGGCCAGCCTGAACTACACAGTAAGAACCTGTCTCAAAAAAACAAAAAATAAAATAAACAAAACATTGTAAAATTTTGCTGATGAGAGAAAATAATGCTTTCTTCTCAAGATATAACATGTGATTATTTTGGCATATATGTGTACACACACATACAATATGCATTATCTTAACTAAATTTCCTTATTATTTGGATGTGTAGCACTAAACTGTTTCTGGTGACAGTTTCATTATCAGCTCAGAGTGACCACAAACTGGGCTCAAGCGGTCCTCTTGCCTAAATGTCCCAATTTGCTTGGACTCCCCAACCACAACTGTCTCTTTTTAGTGCCAGGGATGGGACTCAGGGCCTCATTCCTGCTAAGTCACCACTCTAACACTGAGCCCCACCTTTTTTTGCTTTTTTTTTTTTTTTTTTTTTTTTTTTTTTTTAGCATAGCTCTACAATACAGTATTTTTGTTGGAAATTCTACAGCCTTTTAAATTAAATCAGACAGTTACATATCCATTTGTAATATCACTACATTCTATGTAATTCATCCCTTTAAATTTTTTTTTGGACAGGGTCTCACTATGAAGTTCAAGCTGGCCTGAAAATCACTATATAGCTCAAGCCGACCATGAACTTGTAGCAATCCTCCTGCCTCAGCCTCCCAAGTGCTGAGGCTACAGTGTGCACCACTACATCTGGCTATGTCTCTATGATTTTTTTTTCCAGTGCTGGGATTTGAACTCAGTACCTTGTGCTTGCCAGGCAGGCATGGCACTACTGAGCTAAATCCCTCGCCCTGTCCCTTTAATTTTAATGAGATAAGGATTTTATAAGTATTATTATTTTTTGAGACAGGATCTTACTATGGTAAGTTTTGAACTCACTATGTAGCCCAAGCTGGCCTCTAACCTACAGTGATCCTCCTGCCTCAGCCTCCTGAGTGCTGGGATTATAGGCATGCGCCCTAACACCCAGTTATAAATATTATTTATGTGGTTCATATATGTACATCCTTGACAAAATACACATCTTGGGCCCTTGTGAATGAGATATAAATTTAGCCAAAGAATGATAGTTTGTATAGTTCAAAGTCTGGCTTAAAACAGACTTCTTTTTTGAGACTTATATACTTGATATAATAAAACCAATGACTAGATGTTTCTGAGCATGCATGTCACTGTAGACTATTTCTGAGTGTCTTATTTAGATAGCAAAGAGAGGGAGCATGGGGTTTGGTTAAAAATGTCACTGCCTTGGGCTGGGGATTTAGCTCAGTGGTGCTACCGCTGCCTTACAAGCACAAGGTCCCGAGTTTGATCCCAGTACCAAAAAAAAAAAAATGTTGCCGCCAGAGCTGAGGATTTAGCTTAGTGGCATGACGGCTGTCTGGCAAGCACAACGACGTGAGTTCAATACCCAGTACAGAAAGAAAGAAAGAAAGAAAGAAAGAAAGAAAGAAAGAAAGAAAGCAAGCCAGCCAGCAGCCAGCCTGCCTCCAAAGCCATTGGCCTGAGTTCAAATCCTGCTTTCTCTAAGACTCAGCTCTCTCAGACTGCTCTAAAGAGGACTAATGACAGTACTTGTATCTGGGGTTGATGGGAGAATGAAATCTGTACAGGCTGTGAAATGATGGTAAGGGTTCTTACACTTAGCACACGGTAAGGGTTCTTACACTTAGCTGCTCTCATCATCTAGGCTCCTGCCTGACCCCTTCCCCTGGGACAGCAACACCCAGACATCCAGGATATGGATGTGTGCTCAGCTTGGAGCAGTGTCTGCATGCCACAGGATTCAGTAAGGAGCCACTGAGTCCTCCAAACCTTCTGCCAGGCAGACATTACCATGACTGTATAGAGAAGGAACTTCAAGACTCCTAAGTAAGAGATCTTCCCAAAGCCACAATGCCATTAAAGTGGCAGAGCTAAGATTTGAACCAAAATCTGTCTCACCAAGCCATGCGGAAAATGAGACCTGCCAATAATTCAATATTTGCCACTGGATTTGGTCTTTTTCCTAAGGACATGAGCAGAGCAGAGCACAGCACAGCACACAGCACAGCCAGTAATCCCAGTTCCCAGCACTTGGGAGGCTGAGGCAGGAAGACTACGATGAGTTTGAGGCCAACTGGGCTATACATAGTGAGGCCCTGTCTCAAAAAACAAAAACATTTACATTTTAGGATATACAAATACACTAGCTATTGTATAGAAGCCTGCCAACGAAAGCAAACAGGAGAAAATGATATCAAACAGGTAATATTCTGAAGCCAAAGCCAACACCTCAGCCATCACCCAGAAAAAGATAAGCCTTCATCTCCCACTCCTGCTGGTGGGGTCCACACGGATGCCACTCGTCTACCTTGCACTTAACTACAGCCACATGTGGGTTTAGGGTACACGTTAGATGAAGGTGCAGAAGTCCAGAAGGCTGCCATTTCAGCAAGAGCGACGGGGTCCACAGGCTCTGCCTCTACAGCCCCAGAGTCCAAAAGAATTGGTTAAACAAGGCTTTCCAAACCGGGCGCGGGGGCGCACGCCTGTAATCCCAGCACTCGGGAGGCTGAGGCAGGAGGATCGCTGTGAGTTCGAGACCAGCCTGGGCTACATAGTGAGCTCCAGGTCAGTCTCAAGTACATAGTGAGACCCTGTCTCAAAAAAACAAAAAAAGAGTCTTTTCATTATTTTCATTACACATCAAGCAGTATCTACGGAAAGCCAACTGTCACAAGACAGCAGCAACAACTCAGGTGATTCTCAGCAGGAAACACCAGCTACCTGACTGGTGAAAGACCCTACAAAGTAACAGGAGACTTTCAAAGTACACAGGCCATGGGGCCGGGGATTTAGCTCAGTGGTTCCGCCGCCTGCCTTGCAAGCACAAGAGTTCAATTCCTGGTACCAAAAAAAAATTTTTTTCTCCAAAGTACACGGGCGCAGGGCACAATGGATTGCAGGCCAGAAGACTGCTTAAACGCCACATCCAATCACTGATCTGCAGCAGGGCATGGTCACCACGGATACCTCGTGTTTACATTTACCAGTTCCTTCAGCACCCTTCCAAACTATGACTCGACATGGACAGAACCAATCAAAATCTTGTGGCTCTGTAGGCCCCAGGCATTTTTCTGGGAGGCCCCTAAACAAACAATTCAACCAATCTCCATTAGTGACCAAAGGCTGAGTTATATACTACTTTCTACATCAAAAACATTTTAGGGGCCTGGGGATTTAGCTCAGTGGTATCACCACCTGCCTCACAAGCAAAAAGACCCAAGAAGTGCGAGTCTCGGTACCCAAAACAAAACCCAACAAAAAACATTTTAGGGCTAAGTATATTGTTGTATGCCTATAATCCCAGAACTCAGGAAGATCACGAATTCGAGGCCAGTATGGGCTACATAGTAAGACTCAGCTGCAAGCAAACACCCAAGAAACAAAACAAAAGAAAGCAAAAATTGTAATTCAGTGGTAGAGTGCTTGCCTAGCGCGTGAGACACCCTGGGTTTGATCCCTTCTATCACAGAAAAAGAGGAAAAAAGCACATTTTTAAGAAATTTATTCTATAAATTTAAAAATTAAAAATTTCAAAAATAAAGTGGTGGAAAGAATGATGCAATGAACTGAATTCCCAGCTTTAACAAAGTTTAATCAATCTATTTTATTACACTCGATATATATCTCCATTCTCTCCCCACCTCTCCTCCCTCTTGTTCAAATATTCTTAAGTTAGCTTTTGAGGGGGCTGACGATTTACTTATCTGACAGCATAAAGCAAATATTAACAATGTCAGTAGAGAATATAAAGTGAACCAAGGTGGTAAAGTACATCAGTTGCTATTTATTCATTTTATCAAAACTTTCTCTTTAGGTTTGAGACTCTTCTGACTCTACCGACATAAAGTGCGCATCTCTTCAGAACAAAGCAGCTGCAGACACTAGTCAAGAGAGGTGGTGCTCTCGCAGTTCAACCTGAGGCCTCTGCGACTGCAGCACAGTACACTTCAGGGTACTAGCATTTTAATAGAACAGAGCAACCATCTACCTGACCAGCTAAAAACAGACGCTACAG